CAAAGTTCTTTTTCACACACGATATTCAGCAAAATGGTGAGATACTTGTTCAACAAATCCGTTCAAGTGACAATCTAGCATATCTTTCACTAAGGCATTGCCAACATCAACATTTGAGAAGCTGAGACATACGATTGGAATGCGTCGTCTCCGAGATATCAAATAAAGCTTTCATCAGGGGGAGTATAATACGCGATGTACTCTTTTTCCCTTAACCAAGGTTTTGTCCCAATTGAATTTTCCTTGTGAGGTTTTTAATGAGGCAGCACTCAATGTGTATTATAAGATATTTGTACTCTTTTTCCCACTGAATTTTCCTAGTAAGGTTTTAACGAGGCACATTATCTTTTAAATGGACATCCAAGGGTGAGTGTTATAAATCTAATGTATGTGGATGTCACTTTCAATATATGTAGATGTTCTCTTTGTAACTGTCTTTGGCAAATTCAATACCAAACGAATGAGTTCATTAATACATGTAACTTGAGAAGAGATTTGTAACCTATAAATGGGATGTTATTCTCCTATGGAATAGACGAAAGAAGCATACTTGAAATAAGACTAAAAGTTCCCTCATCCTCTCTACATCTCTTATCTATTCTTATCTTCTTCTCTTTTGGTGCTTTAGTTTATAATTATAATATTTATTTTATAACATATTAAATTAATATAAAATACAAAATGGAAATTTTTGAAGTAATAAATTAGACAAATACAAATATTATGCTCAATTAGATTCCGTTAATTTTTGAATTTTTAAATGCAAATGATATTTTGAGATTTCTTCGTTCCTATACACTATTTGAAACTTTATTATTACTTAAAATGTTCATGTTTTTGAATTTATCCGACCTAAATACGGTTTAGCTACAAAATATATACAATCTATTATTAATGTTTTAAATTAGGGATTTAGTTATATCTTTTTCCTATTTTTTCTTCATTCCTCTTTTAATAAGACTCATTCCAGTTGTGTATTACCTATTTTAAGCCATAACAAACGGAATTTCTGTTACAATTTCGACGAACACACAAACCATGTGAAGCAGTGACTGTAAAGCGTATCCAATAATCCAAAGCCTTAAAAGCACAGAAGGAGACTCATTTTTGCTTATTATAAGAACAGAAATTGCTACAATAACAAAAGCTAAGTTCGATTAATAGGTCTATTACCACTATTATTATGTTCCAAAATATTTGATTAAATAAACTTTGATTAACATGTTAAAATACATATTTCTTTTCATCATTCTTTACTTTTCTTTCCTTAATAAATCAATTGAGAAAAAGAACAATGTATGGTACTTAATCATACAAATTTAAAATAAATTTCGTATAAATTTATTACAAATTTGAATATCTACAGCAATATACATAGTAAAAATAAATTTCATACAACTAATTATATATTATATAATTTATTTACAACTTATCAACAATTTTCATACATTATTTCTACATAGTTAAATACAACTACAATATCATACAACTTAAATACAAATTTTATACAATATGTCTTTTGTATATTTTGTATCTGATTTATACATAGTAAAAATAAATTCCATACAACTATTTATATATTATACAACCTATTTACAACTTATCTACAACTTTCATACATTATTTTTACCCAGTTAAATACAACTACAATATCATAAAACTAAAAAACCAATTTTATATAATATATCTTTTGTATATATTTTGTATCTGATTTGTATATATTTTATTTGTGGTGTGTGCTTCTTCCTCTTTAAAATTTCAATCAAAACTTACTCTCTTAATACAATTTTAATACATATCAACAACTTTATGTAAAAAGATAGTATTGATAACTTAAATACAAATTTTATACAACGATTCATATATTATACAATTATTTTTTAACTTTCATACAACATTCAAATAAAAAATATATATAACTACAACAGAATACAATTTACATACAATTATAATACAACTTTACTATAATTTTGTAGTATATTGTATGTCATGTGTTCTTCTTCTTCTTCGAGTTTCAATCTAAAATTCAGCCAAAATCAAGTCTAATTTTCACCAAAACACTCTCAAAATTGAGATTTAAACTCAAAATAATATTCCCAATTATTTACAACAATACCCAATCCAAACAAATAATGGTTTTTGAAAACACAAATTCGATTTCAAAGCTTCAAAGCTTTTTAATGGTTGTCAATAGTGGAGAGTCCAGCACCTTCAAAATTTATAATCATAGAGAGAATTAGGAGAGATTAAAGTCTCTGCATATGTTATAGCACAACTAAAGCGAAGTGAATCTTCAGGGTTTGCAATTTTAACTTCCTTGAGCATTCGTCTTTTCAAATCATAAACGGATATTCCTTATGAGTCTTCAGGCTTTGCAAGAGAGAGACATATGACCAACTAAAGCGAAGTGAAACTTCAGGCTTTGCAAGAGAGAGAGTAACTGGAAATATAAAGAGATACTTATTTAAAACTTATTTGTATATAATTGATAAATTATATAGGACTATGTTTTACGTCCGCGTAAAGTAGTCTTGACTTAAGTTGCAGCATCTTTAGCACAAAATCACAAATAGATTCGTAATTATTAATTATTAGTTTAGCATGTTGCTCATTTAACTTTCATAATTATTGTGTGAATTTTAGTTTTACCTGATTTAGGCCTTGTAGCTCATCTCTGTTTCAATTCTGATATATGGAGAAATTCCTAATAAGAGCGATTTCTTATTTAATACGAATCCAAACTAATCGAATCATTTAGCTTTGGACCAGTAAAATATTAGTTTCGGACAAACACATAATCTTACTTGCCTTCTTTTTCAAACTACTACTCCCTCCCAAGTTTGAAAAAGAAAAAATTATTTTGCATCTCTTGAACAAAATAGTACAAGAAAATAAGTTCTTCTTATTTGACGTTTGAGTGGTCATGTTCAATCATGATATACCGAATTTTCTGAATTTATAGTATTTACTTATATTTTGTTGATTGCTATTTAATACTCCTATGTATAAATGGGTGCATTTTAAAAATAATCCTGTTTATTTAACTTGGAAATCGTTCCCCCTTTTTGGTTTGGCAATCGTCTAGATACTTTACTGTCTAGCTTACTTGAATCTCTCTTTTTTTTGCACTGTAAATTTTTTGCATTTTTCTGTAAAATTTCTACAATTCTTCTGCAGGTTTTTTATTCAAAAATTCTTCTGAAAAGTATTTTTTTAAAATCAAAAATGCTTTTCAAGAAAGTACTTTTATAGAGTATTCCATAAATATCTCTCAACGTATTCCACTCAAAAATCCGTATAAGAAAAACCTCCTCGCCTAATCGCTTTTTTAAACATCAAAATCCATGGCATAAAATGGTTAAATGCTAAAAGACCGACTCTATGTATATTCTTTCTGATTTAGTAATAGTAGGGCAATTATGGGGGCAAACCTCAACGTGAAAGTTGGCTTTTGGACATAAGAATTACCGGAAAAATGTGTGAAAATGGTACTTGAAAATTTGAGTTGTGTTTGGACATGAATATAATTTAGAATTATTTTCGAATTTTTGTGAGTGTTTCAAATAAAATTTTTGAAAAATAGCTTTTTAGAGTTTTTCAAATTCCGAAATTTAACTACATCAAACTTTTCATCTGGCCAAGAAATACAATCTCTCATCATTATATGCAGTACATCGAAATAAACTTTATGGCAAATAGGATTCCTCAAAACCCTTTTTATACCAAAAAACAATAATAATAAAAAAACATAGAGACTTAAAAACGAAAACAACACTGTCAACAGTTAGTCAATTAATTTTATCAGCGCCTTAAACAAACTGCTACTTATTATCTTGAAGTTCCAATTTCTGGAATAAATTCCACGGTAATAATTTTTTTGTTTTTTTTTCCTTTTCGGGTCATAGGTTGTATTTTCAAGCATTGGAGAAATATGAAGAGGTGATTGGAGAAATATCTCTAGGTATTATTGGTGTCTAGAACGCCATTATAGGTAGCTATTCTCTTTTTTGTAGTAAATGCCGAACATGCTATATTAATTCATTTTCACCAAATATGATGTGATATGTTCAAGATCAAAGATGTCCCTAGCATTTAAATAGGGACAAACTCTAGCACCTCTGAGCAAAATGACTAAATGAGCGCGCAGTAGATTGTACATTTGAGGCGTGCTTAAGCTCAAAGAAATTCAAGGTAAGCGATTCGCCTTATTTAGGTTGCGTTTCAAAGTAGGCAAGGCATTAAGATGTTGGCCGCATCGCCGAAAAGTTCTTTGGCGACAGTCTTTTCCCCTCATAAATAAGTGTTTTCTAAGGGGCTTTGACAATTGACAGTTCTCAACATGTTTAGCAGTGAACGAAATGAACTGCTGAATTTTGGAGTTCCCTGAAAATTGGTTAAATGTTGTTTGAACTTCTTGTTTAATTATTAAAAGTAGTTTCTCAAGTTTAAAAAGTTACTACAAAAATGGAGGCAAGCGCACAAATAACAAGTATTTTTTTGTCATGAAATTTTAAACTAAAAAATATTTAAAATTTCAGAACTCACTACTTTTTTGTCCTAAAAAATTGAACTGAAAAACTGAAAAAAAAAAAGCGATTAACTTAAGCAATTCTTCTTATTCTTATTTTTTCTTAATTGTAGTTCCGATATTGGTTCACCTATTAGGTCGGGCTCACCTCACCGTACCTATGTAGACCTCTATTTACCTCCCTCCTATCTCTTTCCAAGTCCCTCAACTGGAGCAACTTCCGGCCAATCTAATGAATATATGGCCAAAAACAACAAAAAAGAAGGAAAAATGACATTGTATAACCACTCTCAAAATCAGCCTATTTGCATTTAACTGGAGGTGGAAGGAAGGTGGGAGTTAACACTTTTTTCTTTTTCTTGGACTTAGTCCCTTAGGAAACATATATTTTTCAATGAAAACCCATGCTTTGGCTTGTGAGAATCAACCATCACATTTGATCTAGCCATCAGACTCAGATTTGGGACAAAAGTAGAGCATAACTGGAAGACTATGTACCAAATGCAACTTGCACAAAAGTAGAGCATAACCAAAGGCATACAGTGGTGAATCACAGACTAGAAGTATGTGTTCAGAGGTGCACAACACATCTGAATTTAATTCTACAAACTGTACCAAAAGTTCCTTGTGTAACCGACGTTTGATCCATTCCATTGCCAACATTACAAACTCATGCCAAGATGCAGATCAATGAACAACTGGCTTTAAAGGATGTGCTCTTAGTTTCGACATATCCAAGTTTGCATCCAGCTCTTCATCTAATTCCCCAACAACACTTCTGCAACGATGAAGGAAAACAACTTGTTAGGGAAAACATATTCGGGAAAAAGATTCTTATTTTTTGGGAGATTTATAAGAAACCTATGCACATCCTTTTAATATATGACAGAGAAGCCAATGGTACACATACATGTTGTCTCCTCGTATGATATAAAGACCTAACACAAGCTGTTGTACACCTTCCTGCATAATAAAACCTAGCATTAATACCACTCAATTTATCAAGGATTAATGAATATACCACTGTATGAATGAGAAGGGAAAAAAGGATTCTTAAAAATATAAACTGCAAGCAAAGGAAAAAATATGATTTCCTGACAACAAATACATTGCAGTCTGTGCATCTAAGTTTCACCTCTATTGGCTACAAGACTGATATCCAATTTACATATCAAAAAAGAAAAAGAAAAAGGGAAAAGGAGAAACATCCAACAACAGCAGGAAGTCTTTAATATCATCCTAACATTTTTTGCTCTCTAGATTGTATATAACATAGGAATTGACAAAATCCAACTTAGATGCAGAGTAGTACTAGGAACTCTAGCTTATAATCTTCACAGCTGAAGATACTACCTGTAGAAACAATGCTGGAATTGACATATAATATGATTAAACAAATTCAAGTGGAGACCATGTATCAGCTGCGAGCAGTAATTAGCAGAATCCATTTATATTGGATAACACTTTTCATGGTTGCTCTAATAATAACCTAATATCAACTTCTTAAAAAAAACTTAACATCAATAAGCCATTAGATGTTTAGAGATTATTGAAATCTGAGAGGGTTTAAGAAAGACCTTTGTTGAATACACCCTTTCATGAGATTCATCGAGAATCAAATTTGTAGCCTGGTCAAATCCTCTCAAAACTCCCTGGACAAAGAGCCAACCGGTCAGCAATTTAACAAGAGTCTCCTGTCAAGGATTTACAAAAACAGGGAAATGCATATAACTCACCACTATATTTCGCCCATCGTTTGTAATAACTGAGATGGTTTCTGGAACACCAAAAGAAAGAAAACAAAGAGTGTTATTCTATTAAAATATGTGCTAATTTCTGGACAAAAATATGTGTTAATTTCATAAAGAAAACAAATAGAATTAATAAAAGAATACATACGATCGACAAGAGACTCAAGTCCGGGTCCACTAGCCATGTTGCCAAATCAGAAGCAATTTACTTGTCAGATCTTACAGTAGACTGATGCTTAAACCTACAAAAGTCACAAAGCAAGTTAGCAAGTACGATAACATTTTAAAGAAGAAATGAAAAATACAGACAAAAAACGCTAATGATAAGAAGGTGAACATCGGAGTGCTGTGTACCAAATAATTAGCAGTCTAAGAAACTTAGGGCTAGGCATTTAGTCAGTCGGCTGGGATGATATCACTCACTGAACAAATCAATCAAAGAGGCATTTAAGCTCACTTTTTGTGTATCATAGAATATTAACCTTCATTCTCATGACAAAATGCACCCAAAAACAAACAAAAGTTCCCAAACTCTTTTGTATCATCAGATATCTCAATCTCCTTTGCTTCTCTTTTTGCTAATTATCATTTCTATTTAGTTAATTGTCATCTTCTTTGCAGCAAACTTCTAGACATTGTTCATGAATCGAATTGTATGTTTTCTATTTTTATTTTATATATTTTCCTTTTTATATCTCTAATTCAGCGATAATATTTATCCTTTTTGCGATTATTTAATGGTAAAACACAAATGTTAGTGAATAATTGGGTCATTATGTTGGGTTTGCTTCCGACATTTTTGACCCTTATGATTTTTTACTAGTTAATAAACATTCTTATTATTTGTTTCTATTATAGCTCGATGTTTTGATGGTACAATGTAATACTACTACAAGGTTAAGCGGAAATGATGATTTCTCTAAGAATTTAATTGACTGGTTTATTTTGAAATCCCAAATCAATGAACTTGACTCTTATTTATGTTCCGCGAACACAGAAAACCGGGTAAGGAATTCTATTAATCCGGGAGAGTGGTTTTAGCACGGCCGCTCAACTATTAATAATTGGCCTAATTATCTAATTTATTACATGTTTAAAACCGGTTATGCATTTTTACTTTTTAACCGCTTTTAATTGCTTTTAGGATTTTTGGAGTTTATTTAAATAAGTCGCTATGTCACGCACTTATCGTTTTTGCACACATTGTGAATCACGTCACGTGAAACGCAACCACGATTTACAACATGTTTAATTTATTATTATTTGAAGTTATGGTCGAGTCACGTGAAACGCATACTCGAATTAGGATTACTTATCATGACTATGCCACGGGAACCGTACCCATAGTCATGATGACATATTTATTAATCGTGCCCAAAGCAACTAGCGCATTTGAATTATTTTTCTAATCTTTGAGATTTGTGGTGGGGTAGTGATATATGGAAAGTTCTTTGTAAGATCAGTTATTGGATTTATTTGCAGATTCACTCACTTGACTAAATGAGAGAAAATCAAACGAATTAATTTATAAGTAGGTAAATTGCAATTATGTCAAGTCACTTGTCAAACATAAAGATTCGCAGATTCCATTATGCTAAACATTACAAATCCTAATCTGATTGATTCATTAGAGGTCATTTACTGATTCCAGCTACAAATTCTGCAAATAGCCCATGCTTTCATTCCATGCTGCCTTTCTTTTAGCCTATGTATTGAACATGTGTAACAAACAATCCAAACTTCTTCCTCTTACTATAAGTAATAAACAATTTACTTCATATGATTCAGAAAATGATTCTTGTTTGAAGTAATCAAGGCTTAAAAAAATTACATATACCTTCAGATATCGATCCTAAGTGATAGTTTCCAGATTTAGATCTAAACTTTAAACCAATCGATTTTCACTTAGCTTAACATTCAAATAGGCTTACCATTTGCCATAACCCAAGCATGCTAACATGTATATTCAAACAAAAGGAATTCACATTAAATTCATTTTTTATTCATACGAGCAAAAATAAATAATTCAGGAAGACATTTGTACCTAAGTTGGAAAACCGAAACAGCTTGAACAAGGACCGAATAAAGGTCTGATAAGGAGATGATGAAACTCGAACCACAAAGTGATAGCAAAATCAGCAGAAAGAAACAGCAACAGCTTCTATTTCAGCTCTCAAACAAACTGAGACCCCAGAAATGATTGAAGCAGTGTATAGAGGAGAGAAGAAGCAGTTTCTCAGCTTTTCTTTTGATTTTTGTTCTGTTTCAAATTTAGATTTTTTCCTCTGAATTCCAGACCCCTTTTTAGCTATCTCGTGTGTGTGAAGGTGAGAAAATGCGTGTATAGGTGCTGATGAGAGGGTGGGGAGGGAGAAGAAAGGGAGGGCGGCGGCTAGCTAGGGTTCTATAAAAGGGTTCTATTGAAGGGGGGCTAGGTTTTTTAATTTTAAGTAAGTGAAGAGAGGATATTGGGCCGGCGGGTCGGGTAGGTGGGGTTTTGGATGGATAAGAGCTGGGCCCAAAAACTGGCCCATGTTCGAATTTGACCTCTAAAGAGTTACTCTTTTCCTTTTTTATTAGGCTTTGCACAATTAACCACTTTAAACTCTAATTTTAGTTTAATCTAATTTGTATTGGCCAAATTATTTACCTATTTTACCTAATCATTGACTAATAATCTAATTAATTAAATAACCTAAGAATGTATTTTTTATTTTTTTAATTATTTAAATAATGCATTTAACAATGTAATTAAATCCTAAAATGCAATTTAAAATCTAAAATGCTATGAAATTAAAATTTGAACATTTTTGTGATTTTTTGATTTACGATATTTCTAACATGCATAAACAATGTGAATAAATACAAAACAAATAAAGAAAAACTTCTAAAATTCATAAAAAGAAATTAATATCATTTTTGGATTAATTTATTATTATTATTTTAGGAGTAATTTGCATTAGGAAAAAAATTATCCGCTCACAACTGGCGTATTTCACGCCTCAACAGTAGTATACATAATAAATAATGTATTTTCCTATAAAATATAAAATAAATAATAATATTTTGAAATTATTTTGATTTATAATAAATATGGTGCAATAGTTTGCTATAGGATATAAAATTTTCTTGTTTATGATCTGACCCAATAAAAAATATTTTGGAAGAATAGTCATGCGTCAGATTTTTAAAATACGTTGGGTAGGATTCTTAATGCTGAAATTTTGAAGCATGTTAAGCGAAATTTTAAAGCACGCAACAATTATTATGATCATTACAATTTTGTCTCTAAATTCTGATCATCACTTGAATTTTAGAGAATGGCTTTTTACAATGTTGAATTTAAGAAAGTGTCTTTTTAAGATCTCTTATGTGTAAAAGTAAACCTCCTGTTTTAAAAAAAAAAAAGAAAAAGAAATGAGGTCATAAAAATAAAAATAAGTTTGTAATGGGCCACAAACCATTTGACCCTAGAATTTTAGCCAAAATCCTGACATTTACCATAATTGATGCGTGCTTGAAAATTATGTGTGTGCTTTTTTTTATTTAAAAAAAACATCGAGTCGCCTAGACTTACAACCTTAGGAGGCTGCTAGGGACCATTTTATTATTAATAATGAACCAAGTATTACAAGAAAATAACTAAACATTGCAAGGATAAAGCATAAAAGGGCTAGCCTATACAAAATGCCCCAAAATGTAAATAACAACAGAATGCTAAAAGATTGAGCCTTGAACATAATCTGCTTGTGTGCTTCGTAATAATGCCTTGCATGATCTTGATTCGTGATGTATTTTCCTTGCAGGTATTTGTTGGATGTGCTGGACGTAATAATGTTTGCTGGACTAGCTGTCGCTGGCAGTACTCCATTCTTCCATTTGCTTCTTGGTCTCTTGCATAATGACATCAAGATGAGCCACCAAAACAATATCAAAAATAGGGGTGGCTAAGGCGGGTTGGGCTGAATTTGGACGGGTATAGATGGTTAGGTCAATAAATGGGTCATTGTCCAACCAAATCCAAAGTGTACTTGGGATAAGATGGGCTAAACAATGGGCCATAGCCCAACCCGCCTAACTTTACCCATGTTTTAGAACCATGTTCATCCTGCATAAACAAAGTCTTTTACANAAAAACACAAATTCTCAAATAAATTTTGACTTCTCAAATGATAATGCCATATAGATAACGACTCTGTTTAAGTGAGAGAATAGTACTGCAAGTGAAAGATATAAGCGTATTCGATTCCGAGTATAGAGTTACTTTTGTGAGCGAGTGCTTATCCCTTAATTCTAATGTGAAACTCCCAGGCAAGAATTCATTTAATCAAACCCCAATTTGGGTACCAGATACCAAGTGAGAAACCAGAAAAAAAAAAAAAAAAAAAAAAAAAAAAAAAAGAAGTTAAAAAATCGATTACAATGGTCATAACTTTTTGTACAAAACTCCAAATTACAATTGGTTTGATTTTCTGAAAATTAGACATCAAGAGCTAAAACTTATATTTTTGTATCATCTCCAAATTCCTTATAGATTGTGAGATATAAGCTTCTAAAATCGGGTTAGTGTAGCAGAATATTTCCTCTATGCGGTCGCGAAAGGCCTTCCGCGATCGCGAAGCACTGGCCATTTTTTTCCATTTTTCTCTTCGCTATCGCGGCCAGAACCATGCTATCGTACCGTATTACCCTGTAGCCAAAAATCAGCAACTAGAAATGGCCTAGAAATTGTCAGAAACCACCCCAAAAACTCGCTTAAGCCCCTCGGTACCCCGTCCGAACATACCAACAAGTCTCAAAACATATCACGGACTTAGTCGAGGCCTCAAATCACATCAAACAATACTAAAAAATCGAATCACACCTCAATTCAAAATCAATGAACTTTGAAACTTCAAACTTGCACAACCGATGCCGAAACCTATCAAATCACGTCCGATTGACCTCAAATTTTGCACACAAGTCACATTTGACATTACAGACATGTTCCAACTTTCGGAATCAGAATTCGACCTCGTTATCAAAAAGTCCACTCCCGGTCAAACTTTTTAAAATTTTAACTTTCGCCATTTCAAGCCAAATTCTACTATGGACCTCCAAATCGCAATCCAGACGCGCTCATAAGTCCAAAATCGCCCAATGGAGCTAACAGAACTATCAAAAATCCAACCCGAGGTCAAATAATAAAAAGTCAAACTTGGTCACCCCTTTCAAATTTAAAGTTTCTAGCAGAGAATCATTCTTCTAAATCAATTCTGAATAACCTGAAAAACCAAAACTGACGATTCACCTAAGTCATAATACATCATACGGAGCTACTCATGCCCTCAAACAACTGAGTAAAGTGTAAATGCTAAAAACGACCGGTCGGGTCGTTACATCCTCCCCCACTTAAATATATGTTCGTGCTCGAACGTATCTAGAGTTGTTCTCAAAGCCATCAAACCGCAGTGTAACCTCACCATGCACATGCCCGGGGGTGATCCCACGTCACCCTATCCCGTATAGGTTTGATAACACAACATAATTGAAAATTCTTAATTCAACCTAGACCATAAGCCTTAGAATCCAATTCCCACATCCGAAATTTCTATAAGATCAAAACCTCGCATCTACACACTGTATAAATATGAACAAGCTGTATCAAGCCATATCCGTAACCCAAGATGTAATCACATGATATACCGCAAAACTCAAATACTCATAGCGATAATTTCCAATCACAATAGCTGCTCAAAACAACCCAATGCCGGTAATAAACCTCTTATCAAACAACGCCTCATTTTAACACCTTCATATACTGCCAATGATGAAAGAAACATGCAGAAACTCATAACTATTCATTAGATCAATAAGTCATGGAGCTCCCTCTCCTTCGACAAGGACTATAGCAAATTTCTAAGCCGACTTTCGATATTATTCTTCCAAACCACGTTGTAATCAATTCTGATATTATCCATTCTAGGTCCCATGACCTCATCTCATCCAACACGACCACTCTAGTGACATGAACATCAATACAATCTAAAGCCACACCCCGTGCAATCCGTGCACCAATAAGCAATATTCCAAATGTACTCAAACATGAAAAAAGATTCAAACAAGAGAACTATCCCACAAGTTCAACGGGTATCACCACAACGCAATGCTAAGAACCCATCACACACCGCATAACCAAAACACATGATTCTAACACAAAAGGACCATACCTCAACATAACTCTGCTTCAATGCGTGACCTCATCCAAATACTGGTCCATATGAAATACCTCAGCCACCATGCTCAAAATCAATAATCACGCGCAATTCGACATCAATTACCCAAAGTGCATTACCATAACCACGGAGAGCAAATAACAAAATGCCACAATCCGGAAAGAACATAGCCAATGTGCAATCAATCATGCAATACCCAAATACTCATCTCGCTCAAATTCCGTTATAAAGCCCAAATAGCACCGCACCGTGTGTGCATATAACCAACGAATCATAACCCCTCATAGCATGGGAGAGTAACACATATAACATATCCGATACGAATAAAATCAATTCTAACTGAATGGCACATCCCTCAACAATGGCAGTATGGAGCCAACCAATCTGGCTCAGTGTACAATACACATCCAAATATGGCCTACCAATGGACCTCCAAATCAGCTCTAGTCACCCATAGATAGATAAATAACCCTCTGAAAGTCCACAATGACTGAATCATAACACATACTATCATCTGGCTAGCTTCGGCCACAACTTCACAGCCTATAACTATGAAACAATCTACTCATGAGAACTCCCAGTCTCCAAATCCATAGAGCACACAAATCACCATATCTAATCCCAACTCCACCGCTCGAATACCTAACACATCTCTCATACACGATCATCCCACGAGGAATACTTCTATAATTCTTCTGTGCCACATAATAAAATTTGAATATCAACAATAGATCAACCAGGAGAGTGCCGTAATACCAGTGAAGTATCCATAAATCAAAACACATTGCCTCTTCTTAAATGTATACTCTCATCAAGCCATACCAAATTGTAATATCATTTACCTAGTCATCTGAAACCATCCATATTGCCTAAGAATTTTATGATCTTCCCTTCAAAACTGAACTGTGACCTTGCACATGCCAATTTCGATCCCACACAACATACCGCATATACCATGCGATCATATAAAAAATACGAGAACTTCTTAATCCACTCTGAGTCACAAACAACTACATACTCAATTAGCCAAGGACCTTCCATTTGATTTCATCCGTAGAAATTCATTATACATCACATGCTCCTCACGCCAGTAGGAAATATACTCCTAGAACCGTGGTAGAAACCATTGAGAACTCTTCGAAGCCCCTTTGCACATAACCAAGTTATCAGAACCGAATATCTCTAACCCAACCAAGCCACGCAG